AATATGTATTTGTTCTAAAAATAATAAATATGTCAGTTTTTAATTTTTATATTTTTAAAAAGAGTCGTTAATGATTAAAATATTAAGTTTACTTTAATGCTGATGGGATATAAATAGAGATGACAAATGGTTGAGTTGAATTTAGCTTCGGGTTAATCTAACTCGATTTAAAAAATGTATACACTCCACACAAATTTGATATGACATGAAAAAAATATATCTTCCACCCGACTTTAGTTAATCTGAAGAACATATTTTTTCTACCCAAATCCGATTCAACCTGAATTTTTGGAGTATAAATTTGATTAGACCTTGGACCCATCTTAAGTATCTAATTATAAAAGTTATAGAGAGAACATTATAGGGATAATTCATAAAATTATATGAAAAAAAAATACAATTTTGCCTCTAGGTTGGGTTTAAGTTAGAAGTTTTTCCATTCTACCGAACTCGATACGACCTGAACTCAGCCTATATAAAATTTAAGTAAAACTTAATTCAAACATAATTTTTTATATAAAAAATATATTACCAAATAGAGTTGAAATTCGTCGATTTCTAATCGAGTTATCATTCTAAATATGAATTTTGAGTTTCTTAAAATATACAAACAAAATTTACCTTCACTATAAAATTTGTTATTTTTTATTAAATAAATTTAAATGAATGATTAACAAAATTAAAACGAAATCATTTGACTAAATTTGAATAAATTAGTTTCACTATTTGTTTAGCTAAATCAGAAATAACAGGAAAGAAAGCAAGAAGACCTGAGAATATGGAAAGTGGTACTAAAACCTAAAGGGACCATTCCTAGCATATCTCTTTTTTAATCTCACTGTTATTTAATTTATTTATTGATTAATTTAAATTATATATTGTATAAGTATATCATGAGAGTGATTCTTCAATTTCAATTGTTATATTTATGATATCAAAGTTTGAACTTATAATCTTACTTAAAAGATTTAATATTTCATCTCATTATACTATTTTTTAATATTTTAACTCTTGATAATTTAGTTTTAGTTAGAAATTATTAATTTTTAGTAATATATATCATATCATTATTTGTATTAATATAATATATATTATATCGATAATTAAGTATATAATAAAATATTACATTAAATATTGATTAATAGTTAATTAATTATTTTTGCTAAAAAATATTTTAATCAAAATTGTAGCGTTAAGTTAAAATGATGATTTAATCTAATATTATAAATTCTTTTTCTAAAATTATTATCCAAAGAAAGCTTGGTATAGGGTTCTCCAGGTCTAAGATGTGACCCCAAGTAACTATTTGAGTCACCATTTCAATGTTTTTATTTGAGAGAGTCGAACCTCAACCCCACCTAAATCAATTCCTTTCTTTTTTCCATTAAATTGGGTACACCATGGTTCATGATTCTTGTAATCCCTAGATTTGGTTTAGAGATCTACGATAATCGCAACGAACGAATAGAGAGTTGATTAACAAAAAGTTCATAATTATTTTTAAAATTGTTTATCAAATATTTTATCATAGATAATCTCATGCCACATTTACAAGGAGTTTAAAACTAAATATTTAACTTTATACAGTATGAAAACTGAGACTACACTTTCAATAGCCAAGCCGATCATACATCTGGATAATCTGAAAACGACATACAAAAAAAAAGTAAACTATAAAATTCAGTGTGTCCCCTAAGTACATTTAGATATTAATATTCAAACACAAATAATTCAAACATTATGTAATAATAACATAAAAATCAGGCAACAGTAAAATCAATTGTTCACCATTGGAATATCTTAATAGAAGTTCTCATAGTCTTATCTTTCGCCGTAGATAAACTGGATAAGGATGTTACCCTCCGAATAGGAGCCTAAAATAGAAAATAGTAAACATGTTGGGGAAGTTATCCTCCAAAAAGAAACTATATACAAAAAATCATAATCAGGATAGGGATATTACCCTCCAAGGATGAACCAAAAGTAGAAACAAGAATTAGGATGAGAACGTTACCCTCCGAAAATGAATATGAGACCTCCGTAGATAGTCTCAATATAGAAATTTATACCAACCTATAGACCATCGAAAAACATAATGATAAGGGTAAACAAAAAAAGTCAAAGGTCAACGTCTTCGGTTTAAGTTCGGATTTAATCAACGGTTCAAAACCAGTTCGGTTAGATTGGTTCTAAAACGGTTCAGTCAAACCGGTTCAACCCTCTATATTGGTTTGACCCGTTTGCAGGAAAAAAACAACTCCCACATGTACAGCAGTGGCGCGTAGGACGGCCTCCGGTGATGGAACTCATTTTTTTAGTATCGTATTTTAAAGTGTGATGAGTCACTCATAAGGATCATGACGGAGATGTGAATTTTTATAAAATCCGAAAAGATGCGATCTCATAAAACGACGACGCGGACTACACTAGAGGAACATAGGACACCGGTAGATGATGCCACAAGTAATGACCACAACAATCTGAACGGCGATGAAATAAGTAATGAAGGCAAAGGGGAAAAGAGGAAACAGGAGTGGGTATTTCATCATTACCCTAAAATTTTAGGTTAATCAAGCACAAGTTCCTACACTTCTGAAATTCACATCTTCACCCAAGTTTAATTACAACTTTCGATCTAGCCCCCAAAATTCTAGATATGATAGTTATCCATTTAGTCTTAATCTAAAAAGTTTATCTAACAACGCCTTTCTGATATCTCTTGATCAGGTCTAATAAATTTCGTCTTGGATTACGAATGATAAGCATGCTGCTTGATCAATTCTACAAGAATGTCAACTATTTGGTTGGAAATAACCTTGTAGAAAAGAAATTGATGTAAGAAATCAACAATTAGTTTGTCTAGTAGGTTAAGACACTATATTTTTTTAAGTAAGGTTAGAAGTTTAAACCCTAACGTTTGTAGGGGTGTGCAAAATTACCCGACCCGGTTGACCTGACCTGCCGACCCGTATCTAAAAAAACCGGGTAATTCTCTAAAAAAAATTACCCGGCCGGGTCGGGTACCCGGCCCGACATTTCCCGGGTCGGGCCCGGGTCACAAAAATCTAGTTTTTCCGGGTACCCGGTTACCCGAGTACCCGGTTAGTTTTTATTTATTTTTATTATATATATATATAATTATATAAAATATAATGAATTATTTATATTATGGATTATTATATTTTGTATTTTGAACTTTTAAATTTTATGTTCGGATATTAGAGTATGTAATTCGAAGTTTCGAACATTTAAATTTGTGTATATTTTTTTTTAAATTAATAATTTGAAAATAAAAAATTAAAAACCGGGTATCGGGTACCCGATTACCGGGTACCCGTAACATCCGAGTCGGGACCCGGATTTACACACCCCTAAACGTTTGTGAATAGAACAAATTGAGTTGAGAGTATCGTCATTGCCTCTACAATATCAAATCTGGATTAATCAATTTATAGACCGTTGATAAATTAAAAAAAAATTATGCCTGTAACAGATCTCAAAGCATCTACTACATAGGCTTGTTGATCCGTATCAAATTATTGAGAGCGTCATTGAGATAGCTCTGCCTACCATTTCTTCTCCACCACCGCCACTATCTTTGGCCAATGATTCCCCAACTTCAGGTGTCGTGCCAATACATGGAACAGATAGGAGTTTAGATTCTAGGAGCCGTCGCAGAGTTGGCAACAAAACCGTTTCAAGGTAAAAGCTCTACGCATGTAAACCACCTTTCGACTCTCGTGGTAAACCCTTTTGATATTTCATTATGATAGCAAGCAGCAGAGATTTTTTTTAATAAAAATCACTAATTTTATTTAAAATAAAAAAATATATTAAATTACAATAAAGATTTAAAATCGTAATAGTAAATTAAACACATAATTAAAATAATTTACTATAATCATTGAAATAAAATTAATAACTTAAAATCACATAAAGACTATACAAGTAACAAATATTTTGGAATCAAACGAAAAATAATATATTATTTTACATTAAGATTTTATTTGATATACACATCAACAAAAAATTAATCAAATAATTAAAATTTCATTACTTTCTTATTTTATAATTTTTTTTGAATTAATCACTGGTATTCGATCTATTGATCGACTAATCCAAATCGGGTATTACAGAGGCGAGGGCGACCCTCCCAACTTAGTTTGCTCCATTCGCAAACGTCATGATTCGAACCTCTGACCTTATTTAAGGGACCTAGTGCCTCATTCCACTAACAAATTTTATATCATTACAAATTTATTACTATTTTTCATACCAAATAAAGAAAAAATAAATTTTTTCCCAACAATATCCTAAATGTGAGATAATTTAGCCGATTAATATGCTATTTTTAGTATCTCTATATAAATAAAAAATACTGCAATGGATATTGGCAGGCACTTTATGATAAGACCATTACCAACTTTCCCAGCTAAATATTAGAACTGGGTTGGGAATCGGGATCCAATGATTAGCACACCACATTTGTTTTACACAAGCTAGACATAGACGAGAGTATTAGAAGGAAAAAGGGGGGGGGGGGGAAGAAGAAACAAAACCAAACCAACAAACAAGAAAACATAGCAGAAATGCAGAAACTTCATACCAGCATCTGTCTGGTCTAAGGTTTAACTGGAAAAAGGGGAGTGAGGACAACATGAAGAGAGTACAGGTTGAGCACCAAGAAAACTACTGCTGCAACAAAATCGGAAATAAGGGCGCCAGTGACATGGTTGCAAATCGGCAGCCAACCTGCATGACTATTCCCTTTCTTGCCCATCTCTGCTACTGTCAAAGCAGCTGAGATGCTCGATGTTAGTACTTAGTAGCATTGCTATGACCACGTCCAGGGTCACAATCAGGCCACCAACCAAACTCTTTGAAGATAAAAAGAGAGCTATAAGAACGTAGCCGCTTGCAATTGCCTCAGCAATCACATAAAACCTATGCCAAAATTTATCAACCAACAAATATATATTGGGAAACTTAATACAGGGGAGTTGTAAAAGACTCTTACTTGAATGCAGGGGTGTTGCTATATTTTGCCGAGAATTTTAGGTTCAACACCTCAGCAGAGTCATGGCTTGTAACCATGACAACTATTGCAGAAGCAGTTGCACCAAAAGCTAGAAGCCTTAGGAGAATGGTGATAATTGTTTTGATTTTGGCCATCAAGACTCAAATGATAGCAGGAGGGAAATGGATTTCTCATTTAAGTGGGAATGAAACAATATATATAGATGCAGGTTCCAGATTTGAATAATTTGATGCTCAACATTTGTTTGAAGATGAAAAGAATGATTTGGTAACCTGCCAAAGAAGATGAAATCAATAAGAGGAGGCTCTCAAATCAAATCTATTGGGTAATTTTACATCACAAGTGTACAAGCTTTAAAGGTTGATTGGAGTGTGGGGGCATTTGATTATAGCTGAATCAGTTCAATACCGTACGGAAAGATGTACAGCGGTTGCTAGTAATTTCAGTCCAGGTGTACTTTTGGCCTTGTGCTAGCGCTGACCTAATTTATTTATGTTCCGCTTATGTACTTTCTTTTAGTAGGTTCCAAATCCATACGTCCGAGCGGGTCAAATTCATAGTTTGAACTTAGTGCTCAACCTACACTCTCTTCATATGAAATAAGAGTTATAACTAAAGTAGAATCTTTGGCGGACTGGTCTTCACCTATAATCATATTTTTCATAGAATTTTCTTGTTTCATTTGTTTTTAAATGCAGATATGGCTCAAATGGTTTGTGGCTCTTGTCGTCAATTGCTTTCATATCCACGAGGAACCCAGCATGCTAAATGTTCATGTTGCGAAACAGTAAACTTTGTACTTGGAGGTTCCTTTCTCCTTTTCTGATGTTTAATATCAAACATATACTTGCTTTCTGCCAAGAGCTGTAATGAAGCTAGCTATTCTTATCCTCCACTTATTGATGTTACAGGAATCACAGTTATTAAAAGCTTGGTCTTTTTACTTGGACAACAAGAGCATGCAGTCTGGTTTTCTATTCATTTTTTCGCTTCTGTGATTTATTGGTAGAAAATAGAATGTAGTCTCAAACATTTTATTAGTCTTTCCTACACTTTCAACTCATCAGGTTGGACTGGTTAAGTGTGGCAGTTGTGCAGTGTGGTTGATGTACCCCTATGGAGTTCCATCAGTCAAATGTTACTCTTGCCTTCGTGTGGCAGAAATCGGGGTAATGTGATTTCGTCTCTCTTTTTTGCTTGCAGTTTTATGTTGGCTACCTTTGATCAACACGTTTTGTGCTCACATCAGATTGTATTGCTAGTGCTATCATTTTTATGAGAAGTTGAGCTCAGTGGATTCATTATGTTAATGCTTCATGTGTAGGCACATAATGTACGCACTCTATAGCAACGAGAGTTGGTACAAGTGGTTGAGATTCAGGAATTTAAACTTGTAAGGTCAAGTTCGAATCCTATCACTGTCACTCTTAGTGAACAATCTGTAAATTCCTATATAAATCCCAATCGGGTCTTAGGTATGCCTTAACTTTGGACTGGGAGAGCCACCTCTTACCTAAACTTTTTGTACCAAAAAAAAAACAATGGACGCCCTCCATGGTCTGTACAACGGGAGCAACTGACCCCTCCCAATGCTGTGTATTTAACTGCCCCAATATCTTTCTAATCTATTGATCCTCGACTTTTTTATCTTGATGTAATTTGTTGACTTATCAATGTACATGAATTAATGCCGATATTATCCTAACAAAAACTCAAATCTATTTCGATGTGCTAATCAAAGTTGGGAGTTCTGGATTATGTTTCAATCTTGCTGCCATGAAAGTTGAACTTTCTGCTTTTATCCTTCGTTTAGTAGGGGTGTTATTTTTTCAACATGTCTTACCCAAAAATGTATTTGACTAGTTTCAATGCGTAGACGCTCGTTTTTCCCGGGTTTTAATTGTTTATTATTATTATTATTATTATTTTATTAATAATATTTTTATTGTTTTTACAGATCCAACAAGTCAAGTCCGAATTAATCAACCTAGACCCATTTACAAGATGTCCATTTCGGGTCAAGCCCAACAACCCATCCAATCAGCAGGCCCAAAGAAAAAAAGCCAAACGCATTAAGGTTTCATTATGTTCTAACATAGCCACCTAATCAACAGCCGTTCGATCGGGTTAGAGATCAACAATTTAGATCTCTCAAAAATTAGGGTTTTAAATTTAAGGGGTTGTTTGATTCAAGGTATATCTTATTACTAGAAGAATAGAATCCTCATTCTCTTATTTGGTTGGCAAACATTCTCAGACTCCGATAATATTTTATTATCGACAGTAAATTTTTTTAGGTATATTACCGGAAATGTGATTATCATTCCCCTTAAGGATTGTTGGATTACCGACGTTTTAGACTAAATTACGTTTAATTTTTTTCTCAAAAATATCCTTCTTATGTAGTTGAATAATAAAAATTCTATTAAGGTTAAATTACAAATTTATTCTTAAACTATTTTAAATTTACAAAAAATCTATAATTAAAATTTTATATGAAGTTCAAGAGTTAAAATAAAATTTTACCCTTTCATTAAACCTATTTATATTTTCAATTTTATAAAAAAATTATATAAATTTTATGAATTTAAATTTTTTAAAGAAAATATATAAATTAATTACAGTAGAATTCAATTTATTAAAAAAATAAATATATAATAAAGATAATTTGATAAAATATATATTCCAATAATCTTTTATACCTTTAATCAAACACTGTAATCTTACATTCATGCTAAATCAATCAAACACAAAATACATTATCAGTAATCCTATTCACCGATAATATTTTATTACTACTGGTAATTTTATATTTCGTGAACCAAACGTGAAGCAATAGCAGTCGCTACCAACAAGGTTCGGTCACCGATCGACGCGTGTGATACATGTACCCACCGTTTGTCTCCTCACCGCGTGAGCCGCTGCCGTCTTCATCAAATCCGACCAAACAATATAAAGTCACTCAAATCAGACGAATACCAACCCTAATATAAAAAAACCCATTTAAAAATTCACTTAAATCCTGGTAATCCGGGAAAATCATTCCCCTACCAAATAGCTTTCATGATTTCCATCCAAAAATCAACCATAAATCAGCAAGCAACAATCGAAATTGGTTGAGAAGGGATTCAAACAACAAAGATAAGCCGAACCAAGAAAAGTGGCCATTTTCAAACAAAGGAGGCTTTTGGAACAAAACAATCATTACAAAGCAAACCGAAACAAAGAGATTTTCGAACCAAAAAAACTACCATTAAAAAAACTCACCTTTAGGCAAGATTCGACCACCATTGCTTCACTGGAGCGATAACATTCCAACATCGGAGGTAAATCTCTTTCCTTCGGGGGTTTGGGTTTCGATTTTCGATTTTGAAAAAAAAAAAAACTTAAAATTTGGAACTTTCGAAGGGCCGAAAGAGAGAGAGGGGAGAGATTCGCGTTTGGGTTTGCTTGCCTTCACCGTAACGAAATTTCATGATATTTTGTTTTGAGCATTCATTTTTCTATATTTATATGTTAGTCACCAGTGTATGTGTTATTCTATTTTCATTAACATTCGATTTTGGCTGCAGTATTTTGTGAACCTTATATTCGGGCACTATTGTGTATATTGACACATTTCGGTATAATTCTCATTTATCTTTCTGATTTTCTGGTTCATTTTATTTTAGTCATTGACTTTATGCGAAAATGACTATTCAGACTCTAAGTCCTTAATTTCTAATTGGTTTACATTATGGCTGTTTTATTTTGGGACAATTTTAATTTATTAGTGTGATTAGACCTTGTTACTTATGCTGAGTTTTGATTTAGTTCTTTTTGCCTCGAAATTGTTGATCTGGATTTTGGCAATTTCTGCATTTTATTTTAGTGTTTATTATGTGAATGTGGTGTTTATTTTACGAAAGTTTTAGTATGCCAATAAATATTGGTTGCTAAATATACAATATACTGTTATATATATTTAGATAATATTTTTATGACCCTTTATATATATATATATATATATGTATATATTTAAATTTTGATATTTCAAATGACTATAAAATATTTATTTTATTGGCCAAATTTTAATGTCTTTTAGACTTGAAACCATTTTCATTAACCTTTGTTGTAGAACGGGCGTAAAAAACACTACTTCATGGAAGAAGTGTGATTCAAGACACCATTCGAACGAAGTGTGAACTTAAAATAAATCGAGCATTTTTTTATTTACCTATTAAAATGCTAAATCTACCTTTTTTTATTTTAGTTTTTACAAATTAGGTTTCTAGGAAAAGGGTAATATATTATTTCATGTAAATTCTGATATTTGTATCTTATTCGATTTAATATTTTAAACAATTCAAGGAGAGAATATTCTTTTACATATATGAAATAGATGAGATAGCTTTTCCGATTGAAGATTGTGAATCTCAAGATTTCTTTTTTAAATTAAAGAAATTTTCCCTAATAATTAATTCGAAATAAATTATTTAATGTTCAATAAAATAATCATACTTTAAATATTGATTCAAATTTACGATGTCCACCATTTACAACAATGTATACGCAACTAAGTACCAATTATGGGCGCGGTGGGGGTGTTTATCATTCCACACGCGTAATCAATTCTCGAATCCTAAAATGAATATTTGGATAAACACAAACCAATTTTTGTCTTTAAATGATTTTTTAAATTGTTTTAAAAGTCATTTTTAGGTATCAGATCTACCTAACCTAAACGTCGTTAGCGACTTGAATTTGTAGTAATTAATTCAAAATTCCAATTTTCTTTAAACAAGTAATAATTGTTTTCTTAAAACATAAAAAAATCTAAAAAAAAGTGGTTATAACATAATGTTTAACCATTGAATGGGATCCTTACCAAACATGTATCCCTTTCAAAGTGAAGCCTGTGAGTATGAAGAGAAAAACGAGGGGCATATTTCTTAAACCTTGTCAAACAGACAAAGAAGCACGTGCTATGATTAGGTTCGACTTTTCTTCTGTTCGAATCTTAGCACCTTCTTTAATCTATATGCCGTCTTCTAGACAGGATATAGGTAATCTATTTATTTAGCATTCACTTTTTTTGTATGTTTATTTTGATAGAATTATACCAAGCTAATAAAATATATAAACCAAAAATATCGTTATACTATGTTATATTATTATCTCCTTTAAGTTAATGATCAAAATTAACGGTAAATAATTAAATTAAAATAAAATATTAAATACGATTTTATAAAAATAAATAAATAAATAAAATAAAAATGCGAAATAAATAGTGTATCAAATAAATAGTTTATCTAACTTTTATCTGTTTTTATTCATGGACGAATCTAGAAAATATTTTTGGAGGGGTTGGAATTTAATTACAAAATTTTAAAGAGTTTATATGTACTTTTACCGTTATATTAGCTTATAACTTTACAGTTATTCAAGGGGGCATAAAGTAATTCCACCACACTCACAGTCATCCAACTATTTTTGTATATTTATGTTTTGGTCATTGAAAGTTTCAGTGGTTAAACAAATTTTGTTTCTTCTTTCATGACCTAAGTTCAAGTAGCATAGTCTATCATACATAATTTTAATTTCTCATTTTTTATTGATTAATTTTAACTTCTTATTTTTTTCTATATAATACATGAGTTGTCCATTATTTGTGAAAATTTAAATTAAAGAAAAGAGTATGCATAAAAATTATCATAGATTTTAAATATATTTAAACGTGATTATTTTTAATTTAAAAATTAAAATGATAAATAATTTAAATAATATACTTTATATTTTTAAAATAAAATAATTAATACAACAGCAATAAATCTACTGAATTAAGACTCAACAAATAAAAAATCATGTGATCCATTAAGGTCAGCAGCAATTCTATAACTTCTCAGTTGCCATCATCCTATAACAGATTTTATATATATAATTTATGTTACAAAACCTCCAAGCGTGGTGGGTTTTTATCCTCAGATTAAAATAATTATATAATTCAATGACCATAATTGCATTTCAAGATAGTAATTATTGATTACTAAAATTAATATAATGTTTTGAATGAGTTATTGGGATTAGTATTTAAATTGAATTGGAGTATTGAAAATTAATAGTTCTTATCCAATCAACTAGCCATCTAGAACTTTGAAAAAAGAAGTAGCCAATCTTAACAACAGTGAAAGGCTCGTCCTTTAAAAAAGAAAAAATTGAACAGCTGGCGATGTTACCCACGTGTCGAGTCAACATAGGATTAGTTCACTTCGTTTGGCCCAGACAGGCGAACCACCGGAATTTGTATTTTTCTCGCAAATTGAAGAAAATTATAGTATTATTAAAAAGAAAAAGTAGGAAACCATTAGAAAAAGTGGGGATGGGATTCCTCTATAAAAGCGGCCTCGTTGATACACGCGCTCTCGCATCCCTTTTATCAATCAGATCTCTCTCCAACTATTTCGCCTACATCATCCTCCATTTCTATTCTTCTTTTATTTGGTGAGACAGCCATTAAATTGAAGCTTAGTGGACTATTTTATCTACCTTCTTCTCTTCAGTTTTAACTCGGGAGTTTTCATTTTTCATTTCAAATATTGAGGAAAGTTGATAATTTTATGTGTTCTCCAAAGTTTACTGTTTCGTTTCTAACTTGAACATAGCAAAGTTAGAAAAAAGGGTACGATGCAGTGTTTTATAAACAGTAACTTTTTTCACCATCACCAATGAGCTTTGGGGTTTATTGGATTTGCAGATAGGTTAATTGGAGTGTCATTTCAATTAATGTGATAAGGAAACCCCAAGTCAGTTAACTATGTCTTCCGTGTATAATATTGCTCGCCAGTCTCTTTTTGTGGCCCACCATTCTTGTTTTATAGCCATTGTGCCGTTTTCAAGTTGTTGCCTTATTTGCTAGATTTGTTACTAAATTGATATTCGGTGCTGATCCTGTTTCAATTTTGTCGTCTCAGAGATCAATAGTCTTGCAGTGTACAAATCAATGGCCTTTGAGCAATATCATGCTCCGGAATGGAAGACGGCCCCCAGTGCTGCAACATCTGAGAATTTTAACGGTAGCTTTGACTGCAATATCTGCTTAGACGTTGCGCATGAGCCGATTGTCACTCACTGCGGCCACCTCTACTGCTGGCCCTGCATCTATAAGTGGCTTCATGTCCAAAGCGCCTCCCTCGACCCGGATGAGCACCCACAATGCCCGGTATGCAAAGCTGATATATCCCACATCACCATGGTTCCCCTTTATGGTCGAGGCCAATCCGAAACCGAGCTTAAAGGCAAACAGGCACTTTATAGAGGCATGGTGATTCCCCCTAGACCTCCGGCTTGTGGCAACAAAGCTCTTTTGTCTCCTACATCCCCGAATACTCAGCAACTTACTTATCGGAATCCTTACCAAAACCAAGACTACAACCACCATGATTACTACCAAGACGATTCTTCCGAACCGCCGATGCTCAACCTCGGAGGCACCACCTTCACCGGATTTCATCATCCGGTAGTCGGGATGTTTGGAGAGATGGTATATGCTAGGGTGTTTGGGAATTCCGAAAGCTTATACACTAATCCAAACTCATATCAGGTGACAGAAACTGGAAGCCCCAGGTTGAGAGCGCAGGAGATGCAGGCTGACCGGTCGCTAAATAGAATTTCGATTTTCCTTTTCTGTTGTTTCCTTTTGTGCCTAATCGTATTTTGAGTTTTGTTTTTCGTATTATTTTAAGGGTGAATTAATTTAGGTACCACTAACCTTTGTCATCCTACTCATTTATATTATTAAATTTTTAATTTTATCAATTATAACACTAAATTTTAATTTTACGTTCAATTATGTTATTATTAAGTAACTAACGTACGAGACGATGACATGATTAATGATTATTGATATAACCTATCATACCAAAACAATGTCATCTTAATGACTATTATTATATATTCTATCAACAAATACTTTGATTGATGATTTAATCATAAATAAGTAAATAATTAATATGTTTACATACTGCACTATTTATATAATACAAACTAATAACAATAATATGTAACTAACTAATTGATTACTAACTATTGAAACTAATTACAAAGTGATTAGCTACATATTATCTCAACACTCCCCCTCAAGTTGGTAGCCGGAAAACATCTTTCAGTCCCAATTTGCTCATTAAATAGTTATGTTGATGTGTACCCAATGCTTTTGTAAAAATATCAGCAACTTGCTCTGTTGTGGCCATATATTCTGTTTGAATCAATTTTGCTTGAAGTTTCTCCCTAATAAAATGACAATCTATCTCAATGTGTTTTGTTTTTTCATGGAAAACTAGATTGGCTGCTATCTGTATGGCTTATTTACTGTCACTAAACAACTTAACAGGTACTGTGTGCTTCATTCCCAATTCTTCTAGTAAACCAGTTAACCAAATCAATTAACAACTCAATGTACTTTGTTCTTTCATGAAAAACTGGATTGGCTGCTGACTGTATGTGTATATGCTGATGATAAGGAAATAATGCTTTGTTTCTTTGATTTCCAAGAATTCAAAGACCTTCCCAACTTAACACAAAAATCAATAATATATATTCTTGACATCACATAAGAAGCCTAATCAGAATCACAAAATGCTACTAAATTTGTTTCCTATGTTGCTTCAAACATTAAACCTTGTTCAGGATTCATCTTTATATACTTTATCACTCTCAAAGCTGCATCTAAGTGTGAAGTCTTTGGTTGTTGCATGAATTGACTTAAATGTTGAACAAGAAAGGTAACATATGGTCGAGTGTGAGTTAGATACAACCTGTAACCCACTAACCCGTATCCGACCCGAATACGAGTCCGAGATGTCACATTGACTTTTCAAAACCTTTTTCTTACAAAATATCAAAACATTTGAACTTATTTTAGGAAAATACCACAGTATTCTATTAAATTGTGTTTCGTATAAAATTTCCAAACAAAAACATATTTATGAATAGTAAAATACGTATGAACAATATTGTATGAACAATAATGAATAGTGATGAACAATACTTGCTACAGTACCCAAATGTTAAAATTTTCCAGATTCAAAGAGAGGAATTGATTCCCCTGCTACAGGGAATCGATACCCTACTACAGTACTTCTGTAAAATACTTATAAATTTATAAAAAAATCTGAGGTTTCATTCGTATAAAATTACCATTTACATGTACATATTTAAAACATTACCAAATTCAATCATATGATTTCACAAAACTGATTAGAACATATCAGATTTAATCCTTTATTTACATGCCAACCACTATCCTTATTACAAAATACATACTATACATTTCTTTTCTGATATGATCTTTGGAAAGGAGAAACTAACATGTCTTGCATAACTTTTACCAATCTTCCTCTTCTCGGAACCTACGCGTGAAACAATCACACGCTAAGTCGTTGACTTAGTGAGGCATATAAAACATAATTATATGCTAATTGTAACTTCTACAATGCATGAACATTTGATATTACCTTATCATACCAAAGCATGTATTCTTTTCTGTAATATATACATACATGCACATATCATGTAACATAACATCATTAACATGCTTATCATTTCTCATTTTATCATCACTAATTTCTTTATATACCATATCAACATATAATGTAAACTCTAAATCACACCATTGCATAAAAAATTACCAATCTCGTATAACAAATACATTTCACTTAGGAATACACATGATATCACATATAAATCTTGTAAATACTTTTGATGTCTTTTATAGGCCCATGTACATTACTGAGAACTCAAGGTATGTGAGTACTGTGAGGTCGTGCACTATGCTGTCACCACAGTTCGTATAAATTTGCACCGTAGTGCCACGAAGAATTTGTCCCGAAGGACCGCGTAGAAATGCACCGAAGTGCCACATAGAATTGCACCGTAGTGCTATATAAAATTGTCCATAAGTACCACATATAAATTCCTTAAGAATCATATACATATATCAAGGATCAATTAGGTGTCTCAAAAGACCTCATACATGTTCCAAAGAATATATATATGTCCCGAAAGACCACGTAGAATTTGTCCCGAAGGACCGCGTAGACCCTCGACTCTTGGCATACCAACTATACCTCTAGATCTCATGACACAAAACATGGGCATTATCTTTCATATTTATTACATATTCATATCAACACATAGTTCACTTACACGTAAAACATTTTCATATGATTCATATTCACATGTCACATAGCTTATACCTTGTTATTATGTCTTCTCATAGACATATATTCTTTCTCACGTAGTCACATAGATCCATATCATATAACATATATCACATGTGCATGTAATCATATAAATCGTATCATATAACTTATATTATATCTCATGATTTCATGTAAACATGCATGTTATATTTTGTTCACATATGTTCATATATACATCATATAATCCTTTCCTATAGTTCATATTTTATTTTCACATATGGCATATCCCATAAATCACATAGCACATATAAGCACATATCAATTCATATAATCAAGTATACATACATTTCATGCCATTCACATCCTTATAATCAATACTCCATATATTATAACTATTGAAAATAGACTTATCACAAGTCCAATTCCTTATAATCCTATAAACTAAAATGCACTCATAAGAATCATATCAATCATATAACATTTTAGGAGTCACTTCTTACCATAGTAACTCCGTCACTGGCTCATCGCAAGCTAATGTTTTTCGATCGCATAAGTACAATTAAATTGCACTCACCTTAGCCTTTCTTTGATTCAATCCTAATCCTTTGATTATTCCAAAACTTTTTTAGGCTCAATATCTACATAAATATAACATTTCAAAACAACTATCAGAAGCCTAAACCTTAAACTTGATGTTGATAACTTAAGCCGATTTGTTGAAAACATTTTGATATTTCGATATAACAAACTAAGTTTAAATGAATTTTAAGATTTTACAAATGATTTTCTAAAGTATATTCGATTCAATTAATCGAATATCAAATTATTACTCCAAGTCTTTCAAGATCATTTCAAACCTTACTAAATGTGTAAAATTGTGTTTTATACTTGAACTATTTTTGAAACAATTTTCACAAAGTATTTTGAACCAAAATCAAGCCTAAAATCAAAATTTCAAAGTGATGCACCGATGCACCAATCCATGCATCGATGCACCATGGAATTAATTGAACATCGAATGCATCGATGTACTTAGTGCATTTGATGCATCGATGCACAAGACCATGCATCAATGCACTCAGGCTTTTTTCAAAACATCGAATGCATTTCATGCATCAATGCACTCTTAGTGCACCGATGCACTGAGAGTCCAACGGTCAAAATATTTGAATTTTACACTGATGCACCGATGCACCTAGGGTATGCATCGATGCACTGACGCTCCCAACTGCTTTAATTAATTGTTTTCACACTTAAATGGCTCTATTGACTCTACTAACCATCCCCAACATTTAGAATCATTTGAAGGAGTATTTAAACAAGTTCTGAAGCCATTGATCAACAACAAGAAAGAACAAATCATAGAGAAACAAGAGAGAAAGCATCAAACATCAAGTTTGTGCAATTCAAGCCAAATTTCCTTTCAATATTCATTTTGCTTTCAAGAGCACAATTTGTGCCCAATTGTAATTATCTTTGAGTGTTCTTATCTTGTTATAGAATTGTGCAAACAATCTACCTTGTGAGGATTTCCTTGTAAGTTTGTAAATTTGTATTTCTCTTTGAAAAAGAGTGTGCTCAAGAATTGGGGTATAATTCTTAAGGGAGTTGTAAGGTTACTCTTTGTCATCAAAAGAAAGAACAAGTTAGTGAATTTGTTGGAAAATCCTTAGTGTGGATAGCTAAGGTAGTGGACGTAAACTTTGGTTGAGAAAGTCGAACCACTCTAAATCGCTGTGCATATCTTTTCAATTTTCTGCAAAAGCTTCCACCAAAATTTTAATTGCCAATTCACCCCCTCTTGGCCAATTTCATTGATCGATTAACTCAACAATTGGTATCAGAGCCTCACTCATTTGAAGGTTTAACCACCTTTTGAGTCGATTCGAGAAGAGTTAAATCGATAAATATGGCTTCCACTTCCGATTCATTCCCATGGAAGAGTTCAGACCAATTGACGTGCCTCCATATTTCAACGGGACAAATTATCGTCGTTGGAAGAGGTTTATGATGATATTTATCCAAGCATTTGATATGGAAGCTTGGATGATAATCGAGAAAGGATATTCCTCTCCTACGAAGAATGCATAGAAGTTGAGTGATCAAGAACGAAAGAAAGCTCAACAAAACCCAAAGGCTATGCACATGTTATGTTGTGCAATTGATCCTAATGCATATGAAGGTGTTTCTTATTGTTCAAGTGCCAAGGAAATATGGGAAAAGCTTGAGGAGATCTATGAAGACAAGGAAGAAGAAGAACCAATAAAGGTGATGTCTCTATTAACTCTCACAGAGCCAAAGGTATCTTCTAACTCAAATAAATTAAATTCAAAATCTTTTAATGAGTTACAAGATGCTTATGATGAATTATTTTCGGAGTTTGAGACCATGAACTCCAAATATAGGAATTTGATTTCTAAACTTATAGCTAAAAATGATCTTCTTTTGAAAGCTAAAACAGACTTGGAAAAACAAAATGAAATGTTGAAAAATGAGTTAGAGCTTTCAAAACTAAAATCTGAAAACTTTGAAAAAGAAAATTTCAAATTAAAC